AGGAACCTCAAACTTCGAAAGTGAGTTCATATGCAGGCCAACACACTTTGTCAATTTAATATCTTTAGCCCTCTTAGTTCCTGAGATCTCAGGGGGTCAATTTGATCACTGAGATTTCAAAACCTAAGAGAGCTTGGGATGCCTAGTTCACAGAATGTATTGGCCTGTACGTAAGCTCACTTGTGTAAAAATGGTGGATTCTTGAATTATCAGAACCTTCTGGTCAAATATGGCCAAACAGAATAGACTCCAAATGTTGTCCAGAATACCCTAAACCGCCTCATGCAACCACCGTGAACCTAGATACCTTGTCTGGGCAAAACACAACTGGTGCTGCATTAATGTCAGTGACTTAGTTTCACCTTTAGAAGGTCATAGTGACCAAAATTCCTGCGAGACTGCTTGAGCTTTTGCATTTGAATAAGCGTCAAGGATTACGCTTGGTGATGTATTCCCTAAAAACAAAATGTGGAGCTGGATTATTTTAGGTCAGTGACCTACTCTAGCCTTTAAAAAGTCCACGTGAGATGTCTTTTGTGGTCTGTCATAAAAAGTTCGAAGTTAGCGCCAGAAACTACACAATACAGTTAGCTTTCCAGCGAAAGAGCAGATTGACCTTTACCTCGGTCTTACTTTCATATCTAACCCTAGGTCAATCAAATTTGTTGCAAGCCCTCTTCTTCGTTTTTTTTTGTCTAATAAACTATCTCAGAGATGCATTACTTCGTCCATCCTTTCGGTGTCGCGGCAGATGAAACGATTGCGTGGAAACTGCCTTCGCTGACAGCCACGGCCTGACTTTGATCTACCATAGGTCAACAACCTTACAAGGTACATCTATTTTTTTCTATATCAAAAGATTCTTGATTTCATGGCCCACAGCTAGCCAAGTTTTGGCGCGGTTACACCACGCTGTTCTGAAACTATTCTGCAAAGACCTTTGGGGGTTCAAATTGACCCACCACCGGAAAACTTATTACAGGAGGTTCAAGTATACATCGCACACCGACACGCTGCATCCATAGAAACGCAACACTACAACTGGAGCTTTAGTACACAAGTCACAGATTGCACTTGAGGCAGTTGCAGTAGCCTTCATATTGCATAATTCGGAACCTCATGACGGCCTTTCCCATGCGAGTAATTGTTTTCCAAATCGCTGCAAGCTGTTGGAGCATGCAGTGCTACCGACCCAGGCAGGCTGTCAAATAGCGCCGCAAGGTCTGGGCCTCTGCTATTTAAAAAGACGGGTCGCGAAGCTGATTCTGAAAAGCGCCCTACCTGCAGGCAAAGGACCCAATGTGAAAAAGCTTTTTGCAGTGTAAACGTGTGTCAGTCCAAGGTTCACGACGCGTGCAGTCATACGAGGATATGCTGCTATTCTGAACTGCGATGTCGTCCATATGCCGATGATGAGTGTCGAACGCGCAGTTTGCAAATGTTTAGATATTCTAGTTCCTTGAATACTGCGTACGTTACTTGAGACGAGAACCTTATATTAGGACGTGAGCACTCCATAGAGCTTACGATTGTGTCCACAATGCATTTTACATCAAGTATTGGACCCGTGTCAGACGCGACTGCTATAAAACCTTCACACAACGCACAGCTGTCATGCGATGCTATTTTCAACCATGTTCAGGCGCATGTTAAACAGCGGTTTGATGTATGCGTTTGAACCTGCACCATTGCGTTAAACCTTACCACCTGCGATATCTCGCCGCCTGTGACCCTCGGAGTGTTTTCGAAATATACATCAGTATGCATCACCTAGACGTTGTTGAGCTGGCAGCTATCCTGTGAATAATAAAGTCAAAATATCTTAAAGTCAAAATGGCATCTCGTCCGGTTCTGAATATTTGGTGGACGTACTCGAAAATTATTTTCGAAAATTATTCCCGAAGGACGGAGACTTAACTGGGCTACTGTCCCCCCTCCTTCCTTAAAAGGTCACGAGTTAAGATGACAATAGTGTTTCACCGATTTTAAAGTAAAGCTCTCTAAGTGCTTTTCTGATGTCCTCAGCCGTGCCACGGTCGTCTCATTTTCAGCAGTGTATGAATGAATAATTAGCGTTCTTCCATCCATGCTTTGTCTTATCGCGTAACGCTGTGGCCCAAAACACTGCCAGGATAGCATTCCTCTCCCATCATCAAGGCTTCCTTGTGTCTCCCTTGGCGGCGTTATAGGCCCTGCTGGCTGGACGGCCCTGCCCGATAGTCCCCGCCCCCCTTCCTCCCATGACTAGTTGCCGAGCTGGCCGGTACAGGGTAGTCCCCGATAGACTGCTCCTCTGGCACTCGAATCTGGGGGTTTAATGCACATATCGTCGGTCATGTAACCTCAAGCTCGGGGATGGCAGTGCAGAAGGATGTCTGATTCTAACAGGCAGATTTTGCCTGCCACCTTGACACGGTGGTGGCAGAGACCTTCCGCGTAGCACGTCCCATCGTCGGATAGATCTGGGGTGTCTCCTTGAGGCGAACTTGACGGAAGGAGTATCTTTCAATATCAATTGGCGAAATGGTAAGGTTGAGAAAGCTGGTGTAGCCGCTGCTTGTTCTATACATGATGAGTTCGGAGAAGTCCTAATGTGATTGGCTGGCTTGTCATACTCGAAGCTTGGATCATCCTTAAGAAGTCAAAGAGACAGTCGCGTATTTTCGACCCTTGATTCGGCTCGTTCCGACAATCGCTTGCTTTTTGCGAAGCCTCTCCGCGAGTCTGCCCGACAGTTAAACACAAACCCTGCATCCTTTCGTGTTTACATCTGCTGACGGCCACCACCAAGCCCAAGCACAAAAAGCGCGAGTCTTCGAGTCACGCTGGCGCGCGCGGCGAGTCTCGTTCCCACGCTCGTCGCGGCGGCGCGTTCGGCTCGTTATCCCGGCCGCTGTCGCCTGCGCCTGATGCTGCGGCCGTGACGGGCTCGCTCCGGCCTCCCAGCCCGGTCAGTTTTTCGCCGGGCTCGAACAATGTCCGGCCGCGCCAGCCATTTGGCCCCGGCCGGCGTCCATTTCACGGGCGCCATTGTGCCCGCGCAGCCGGCCGGCCTCCGTCGTGATTCCAATTAAAATACGATACTCGCCTCGAATTAACGAGAGGAAGATAAAGGTGCGAACAATTAATTGAAGCATCCTTGAGATCGCAGCTAACGATGCCTAATCGTCCAATCATTCTGCGGGATCTATCAAAATAGACTATCTATTCGGATGATGGAGCAGCGCGACGGTGCGCCGGCCGCGCCCGCGTCATGACCATGCAGTCGGGGGCCAAGGCGGCGCGCCGGGCGGCGCCGCAGGCATGCGCCATGACAGAGCGCCAGGTGGCCATTTGGCCGCTCCCCGAGGGTGGACCCACCGACAGACCACTTCAGCTGGCTCGGACACGGCCTGGTGCTGCGCGGTCCATGTGGTTTGAAGGAAGCGCTCGGGTAGGCGACACGGAAGGGGATGCAGTTTGTGCATTTGTGCGAGATGCGGAAGTTCGCAACGATATCGTAGCTGTTTAAGTGTTCATTCTATTAACTGATTACTAGATTATGTTAGCAGTATCGTCAGTCTTCACCAATTTCTGAGCAGAACAAAGATCTAGCCGAGGATGTTGTTCATCATGTTTTTAGTCTCGTCCCCCACACGCTGAAGAAACGAACACACGATATCTCATAACGCTCCATCTGGCGACACTTTTCGATATTAACTCCAAGTTTTAAGGCATGACTTTAAGCATACAAGCCAACTTTCAGGGCATCCATAGTCATGACGAAGATGTCTGAGACCATGCATCAGCTTTCCTGGCAGGTCCGGACACTTCCCTTATTACATATTATACGGTGATCTTCGTTTGATTAACTGGAGGTGAGAGAACCTTCGTCCTACCCTGGAGATGAGTTTGAACCCTCTGCATTCTGACATACCGGGTCGATTGTGCTGTTTGGGGGCTCAGAATAACTGCTGTGATGTAAACTGTTTTCACGTGGCCATTTGGTGTGCACTTTTTCAATTAAATGCTCAAAAGAGGGAAGGATGGGGCAGAGACGCAGGCTCTGCCACATCCACTGTATTTTGTGCTCAGTGAACCTAAACGACGTATTGGATTCCCAGTCAAATTTGATCACCTGCAGAATACTGTATCGTACTGATTAGAAGCTCAGGTGGCGTTTCGGGTTTTCAGTTCGTAGCAGCGCCATAACGTCGCTTAACTACATCCTGGATTTTGCACACCAGTTACCAAATAACTCACAAGTCACAGAGAACAGGCTACGTGCAAACAAATAATGGTTTGCCGGCGCAATTAATTGATACAACTCTGCAGGATGTGGCCAAGCAGCAAACAACGCCCAATGCCTGGACTGAATTGAAAGCATGGCCCTGCGTTGAAATTCCAAAACATGCATGTGAAATCCACAGCGGGATACCAGTCATGCATCCTTCAACTCGGACGTTATCTTCAAATGATGTAATTTATATAGCAAACCTTTCTACTATACGCACACACTGATTCGGTCCCTAGCCGAGATAAAAACTATAGGAAAACACCCATTACCAAAACGTCTCAGAAAATTTTCTAAACAAACGTATCGAAGGACAAAGTTGGTGCACGGGGGTCGGCAAAGGATGGTTTATGTCGTCAGATGTTCAAGGAGATCGGATGCATGTCCTAAGGAGGGCCTAAACGTAGCGTACATAAGGGTCTGCATTTGATAGTCACGTCTGAACGGATCATGAGCTGTTCATGGGCATGGCATGAGGCCATTTATGGCGCACTCGTCTTCCACCAGATATTATGTTTACCTTCTGCTTCGATTGTTGGCTTGCCGTGTGACATGAAGACTCGTAGGCTGGTCAGCATTCTTTGTAGACCCGTACTGAAGGCATCTTGAGCATAAATCCGGCAAAAAGAACAGCTTTGGAGTTAAACTCCAAGCCTGGTTACTGGACGCATGCAAGCGTAATCAGCCATCAATCAAGTACTCACTTATTGCTGTCTATTCGCTTGTAAAGGCTGCTACTGATGCGTTTATTGACCATGGACAATGCCGTGCTTGATATTCTTCCGATGACATGCATTTGTGTGTGAGGCTGTCCATTTTCCAGTGTATTTGCCACTGTTTCCCTATAAAAGTGACAAAGTGGCTGGTTTGATATACCTGCTACCTTTTGGCTTTAAACAGCTAATTTTTCTTCGCGAAAGGCATACCAATATATTTATACGCATCTATGTAGGAGCGAAAAACCCTTCATACAAGCCAGGCGAGTGCAAATGCAGTCTCAGTTTTTCCATAGTTATACTGGCTGGAGTGGTTTGACTTTGAAATGGATACAAAGCAGCTCAGCTCCGTGTTAGTTTGTAAAAAGCAGGTGAAGAGACGAACGCTTTTGGATTTGCAGATTCTTGTTGAGGTCCTTATAGTATGATGAGGTTACCTTGATGAGTTCGATGAGCATGGTGAGTTCGCGTACCTGGAATGAGAAATAAGGCTTCTTGATGTAAGCCGTGACAAAAACACAACTGAAGAGATAATGTGTTTGCAGGTTTCTTACAGTTTCTTGGCCTGGCACTAACAGATAGGTTTACTATGTGAGCCTGGAATGAAAAATAAAGCTGACGGGCCAACGCAGTCTTTCTTTTGGGGGTGGGATAACTTGTGTTACAAGGCGAAGCGAGTTTTCAAATTCGGGTGCGGGGCGGGTGCCGCTTTCCAAAATCTCGAAAAGTGGCAGCTCTAATGCGGATGCAACAACCATTACACAAGGTTTTGCCTGAGATATTCTCAGTGGCCTGACCCGACACCGTTCTATTATCCCGGCATGTCAAACTGATCGCCTGAAGAATGTTGAAAATTGGTAGACGCACTTGGTGCGGTTCAGAATACATTTCTGAAACTTTCTCCCCTCCCACACTCCTTCCCCACCAGGTGAGCACGGATCGATGTCAAACTTTCACGAAAAGTTGGTCATCGACCTCAGCCAAACAGTTGCACAGAAACTCCAGCACGGCGCCCCATGCGTCATGCCGCACAAAACAGCCGATATGCGCATCCGCCCGGGGAAACGGAGCGTCCACCAGCTCAAGCCGAACATATTACAATCCTGGGAACAGCGCCAGGCACGCACGTCCTCCATTCACGCCGCCTGATATATCGGGGCGCACGTCGCCTGGCCGCCATTCATTCCCGACCGGAAATAATGGTCACGCACTGCAGCTGGCACCTATCCCGGTCCGACGCCGGCGGGCCGCACGGGGCAGGGCACGTCTCTCACGGTCCGGCGGCCCGCCCCCTAGCCCCGCGCATTACGCTAACGCGTGTGACGCACCCCGTCCGACCGCCGGTGATCACGGGCTGGCGGTGCTTTGCATGGAAACGACGCGCCGCGCGCGTCGGTGACAACGACGCGGAAGTAAGTGCCCCGGCGCGGGCGCGCCCGTTCACATTTCGGTTTTACGGATCCATTTCAGGCCGGGCGATGCCGCGGCTGCCATGCAATCATCGAGGAAACCGTAGCTGTTTATGACACTTGACCATGAGTTACGGCTGCGTAAAATGCGTGCCTAATTGAATCAAGCGGCCGTTAGGACTGTGGTGGACATTTTTGTCCCGGTGCGCGGCTGCGGCGCGCTAACGAGTCGCCTCCGGCCCTCGGCCGCCGCGCGCTCGACAAAACAAAAGATTACCATTAATTTTCGGGTAAATGATTGTTCCCGGTGTGGGGCGGAGCCTGGGCCGCGATTATTCACCTCCGAACCAATCACCGGCGGCGTGCGGTCGGCCGGCGGAGAGGTGTGATGGAATGCATTATTTTTTACAAGCCCCGGACAATGCGGGGGGCCGGCTCTGCGCCGGTCCATTGTCTGTCGAATCGGGAGCTCGCCGTCGAGCCGGACGCCGGCGTCGCCATGGCTCATCGCGTGTTCCGGGAAGGCCAGCACATCCTGTACAAATTACGCCTGGCTTCCCGGATGGTCGGCGTGCCCGCGGCGGGTGTGTGCTAAGGAGGCACGAGGTGAATCAGCTCCACAGAACCCAGTCAACGCCGCCGGGGGTGGCGGCGTCTCGCTGGCAAACAGATTGCTTTAATCAATCGCCGCGGTTAAACCAGGACCTCCCCCTCGGTTGGAGCCCAGGCATGGGCCCAGACTGCAGCCAGGTGCCGATGCTCCTTGGACGGTTGGACCGAGTCTGTCAGTTCGAACTAGAGCTGAGGGTTCGCAGTATTTGGATTCGGATCCTAGCGTGGTCAATCCGGGTTCGGATTCAGATTTTGATTACGGATTCATATGATTGAAAAGAGTGAAATATATGCATAGAATAAAGATGAAGACGGCGACTCAGTCCGATGAAGAAAGGACTTGATCGCGTTACATTTAGTCATCTCAAGGGAATGTGCGTCTAAATAATAATACTATACATTTCATTGCATATGTTGATGATGATTATCTGACATCGGTGTGGTTTTCAGGAATCGATTTCGCATTTCCCGGTTTTCAGCCTCTTGTTTTTACAAGTTGACTTTCCTCAGGTCCGAAGAATCGCAATCCCCGGCCCCAGTTCGAACCGAGGCCGCCAGGTGTGTTGTGACTGAAGGCTCAGCTGGCACGCACCTGTCAGTGCTCCAGACCATTGGCTGTTTTGAAGCCCGGCGTAAACCGATTAGCCGCTTTGTTAGCGCAAAGTGGCGTGCATCCTTGCCTGACGAGGGCACCTGTTAGGGAGAGTTCCGTCCTCGAAAAATGAAGGCCAAGACTTAGTGATTCGGCCTTCCATCATAGCTTACAATGTTGTCATCATCAAACTAACGCTACCGCTTACCCTTCACCGCTTGGGCACGTGCGGAAAGAGAGAGGCTCACAACATAATTCATAATGGTATAAGGAGCAAAATAAAAGCGACAAAGCAATTCAATCCAGTGTAAGAAGCGAAATCCTGGCTGAGTGATAAGCAAATTTGGAAAGAATGAAGAGAGGATACCGGAGTCTTTCAGCGTTAGAGAAGAAAAGTGCTTTTGTTGTGTAGCACAATGTCTGCGAGACAAGCTGACTAAAAGTATGCAAGAAGAAGGCCACGGCTTTTATAGGTTTACACCGTAATAAACTAGCATACGTGACAACATACCATGCATGATACCATGCAGATAAAGATCTCAATGACTTGATGCTGGGATGTGCTTAATCTTGGCTGAAAATAAAAAGTTTGGTTTAAATAAAAATAGAAGGTTTGCGACACGTACTGGCATGAGGATTGGGAACCGGGTCGATCAAGCCGTTTTCCTTCGAATTTTTTCCACATCAGTGCGCTGTTTAGACAATATTCACCTTGCATAATTTTGTTTGCTGTTGCCTGCATTGCTTGTGTTTGTCATGACCAGGGTGTTTGCTGTTAGTAGGTATACACTCTTCAGAGTAGGGTGGGAGGCCTGGCCTGCCAATATCGAGCTGGAAAAGCAAGCTGAAACTTGGTGTTTGATGCCCAGTGAATGTAGTCTCATAACCCTGCTTTAGGTGTAAGCTATATACAATTATCATGTCATGATTATTTCTTAGAAATGAGGGGTCGAGGTTAAGTGAAAACAGATAATCAGGTTGATGTTAACAATCATCGATGATCCCCTCAGGCTGCCACCAAAACACATACCTTGCGCTTGCTGGGAAGAGCTTGTTGCAATTAGTGCACCTCGGGCACTCCTATTCGAATAAACACTGGCGTTTCGAGCTGGGGGCATTATCACCACTATGCGTACTTTCCCAACATGGTTCCAAGCAAAATGTATTTTTGAAAGCCAAGCCTCATTCCCTTCAATGAAGGTCCTTCCGAACCTACTTCAAGAAGCCCGGTGGGTATGAGTTACTTATGGTGCTCAAAAATGGAGTCTTTCGAAACCACAACCAGCATTACGGTCACATCAAAGCGGTTCTCAATTTAGTAGCCGACGTAGTCTGACTATAAACTTCTCATTACCACGGACTCCTTAGCTGGATACAGCCACCGTTCAACACACCAGGAGCTATCAAAGTATCATTGGAGTTAAGGTTTCATTAAAATACTCACGGTTTACTTGTGATATTCATTATATCTAACGTCCTTCATCATATCATGCGCTTTGTGGACTATGAGCATCGGCTAGAGACGCTGAGCATGTTTATGACACAAGTTAGAGATTGCTATAAATTTTAGTGCTATTGCCAATTCCTGGTATACTGAACGTTGCTTGATGTTGGCGATACAGGCAAGACTTTGTAATTCCGAAAAACTAGGATTTCCACTTCGCTGTTGCCTGCATGACAAACTTGCCGAAGGGTCTGCAGGTAACTCCTGATTTGCCGCTGATCACTTTGTCATACAATGATTGTTGGGCAAACTGTCGTACTCAGCAAGTCATCTGAAAGTGGATTTTATTTTATGAGTCATCTAACTGCAGAGATATTTGAATGATCAAAAGCCATGATACTTCATCCCTTGCCTCTTTTAGCAGAGTTCGCAAGTGTTTCGTTCAGCTGATATGACATGGCGTTCTGATAAGACAAATTGTGCGTCAACTTATTGATACATTCATTTGTGTTGTCTTGTGGCATATTTCATGCGTTTTGATTGGTGCCTTGAGGACAGCCGCAATAGGTTTTGCCAGCGCCACACATTGGTCTTTAGAGCACGGATGTTCAGGGCCGTTCATAATTCAAAATGTCTAATGTTTACCACATCAGGTCTAATTCTAACTTTTCAAACTTAGGCTGTCGTGGCCTGTAGAGCTCACGCGGGATCCTCAATCGTGAGCTTTGTTTATCAGGTTACATAATCTGATCGACCATAAAAAACATTCCGGAAAAGATGTACACAAAAGGAAAGAACTCTAAGACTTGCGATGTGGGACTTCTTCAGAAAAACTACAGCCCACTTCCGCGATGGCTTATTTTACTGCCCGGGATTTAAGTGAGTATAACGCATTACACTTTTTACAAATGACGTGTTATTTGTTATTTGGTTTGTGACGCATATGCTGATCCACTGAACAACAACGGTGACAAAGTGCACGATTTTACTTGATTTGACTATCCTAATAGGCACTACCATTTCTCACGGCTTGACTCCGGAAAATGTCGTGTGTGTGGAATGACACAAAAATGCTTTCACCACCAATTCGTGGCAGGTACTTGTCTGTAATTTGATCTGGTATAAAGCAATGCTTGAGCCATAAATGTCTAACCCATTTGAGTTAAAAAATGCAAATATGTAACTACTGCCGTACCCACATACCAAAATCCCTTAACCTGTTGTCCGTTATTGCAGACTATTCATTCATGCATCAACCTACATCGCCACTTCACAGCAGAAATGGGTACGTAAACCCAGTCGCGGCAACTTCGGTGGCGATAACAGCGCAAAAGCGGGCCCAAATCTCTTGACTACAGCCGGTGAGCGCACAAGTGCATTTACGAAGCCCATTCGTCCCTGGAAGGCAGCCCGAGC